CTGAAATTGAGGATGGGATAGATAGGAAATGAGCTATCATTTCATGAGGAGATGACTTTTCTGTGATGGGGGACAGATATAAGCTTAGATGGATGAATATATATTTTAGCACTTAACTTTTTCCATAAAACACAAATAGACTTAGTGCGAAATTACCAGTCTCACTCCATGGTATTTCTGATGAGATCGGTAAATAATAGAGACATAAACTTCTTTAGGAGCTAGTTGACTTTAACGTATGCTGGAGTACAATTGACTTACAACTATTTGGCGTTAGAAATGATTTTTCTAGGGCTTGGTGGGGGGAAAAACAAGCGTGAAATACCTGCTTGACTTAAACTTCAACATATTTTAAAGTCATTTTATTATCCCACAGCTCAGAATGTCTTCAATTAAAGGTAAGAAAATAAGGTGATGGGCTACAGTGACTTAATCAGGTGTTCAGTTAATGAAGTAGAAGAATGCAGATTCTAATAATTCACAGTTGTAGAGGTTCTAGGCTGTTCTTAGTATGAAGTCCCGGCAGTGTATGTGGCAGAGTGAATACTGTGTCACGACCTGGTGAGTCATGCGAGGACTGTGAGTAACTTTTATCTTCTGTGTGTCCCACATAGCATTTAACAGAGTACTCTGCTAGTGATTTGGTTGACAGTTATTGAATGAATGCTAAGTTTCAAGTATTTATTTGATAGTTACTTGATTACCAGGTAATCAAGTAATTACTTATAGTGTTTTAGGGGGTTTTCAGAAGATATTTGTGATTAATTTAAATAAATGATCATATATGTATGTTAGCATAGTGTATGCATTTGTCAGTTGGGAAAGGGGGGAATATGGAGAAGTGGGGAACTGCATTCAGTTTTATTTTATAGGCAACTAATATAGTCCCTTGGTTTTATTTTAAAATGAAACTGAGCCTTGAGCATTTTGAGCTTTCATGTCAAATGCCTTGAATGGAAGAGTAGGAATTTCATGTAAGTAGCTTACATCTGCCCTGTATGTTGGAGAATGTGATTAGATATACTTGCTTTTCTGCCCAAGGCACTATTTTTGTATTTATATTGCTTTTTTGCAGGTTTACTTTTGTTAACAGGAGTCTGTGAGAAATAAGGCTTAAAATATCAATACTTCTCATTTTTCCACAGCCTTCCAAGGCTTCCATCTTTGTGCTAGTGTGTAGTTCTGGGTGCCATCTAACCCCAAAAGCAGCAGTTGGGTTTGGATGAGCTGTGTGACATTTGGTCTACACTTAGGTCTACTAACCACCCTGGGTCAGGGAACCTAGAACAATCCTAAAACTCACCTACTCCAATGCAGGCCATATTTTTTAATTAAAATTGAAATTGTTACTGAGTATTGCAAAGGAATAAGAAGGGACTTTGGGGTAGAGTGGGTGGGCAGGGCGTTGTCTTACAAAGGAGGTGTGGGGACTGGTAAGTTTTAACTTTCATCCTTTCAATCTCTCAGTTTCAGTAAAGAATTTTGTTGCTACCGTTATTTCTTAAAATCATGAAAGAAAGGTAAGAAATCGAGGTGTATAATTTTCTTGCCCATATTCTCTATATTTTAAAAAATACAAGAATAGTATATATGGGTCTATGAATTTCTTGTGCTATTTTGCTTTCCTTGAATTATTAAAATATGTTGCATAGAACTAATATTGTTTTCTTTTTTATTTTCATACAGGAAGGACAGAAATATTGTTCATGTAATGTGTTACCTTTTTTGTCTGTGTGATCTACAAGAGCATGGCTGAAATGTTACCATTTTTAAGTAGTGTTTTGACTGAAGGTTATTATGAGAAGTTTTACTTTTGTTAGATTCCTAATTTAAAATGCCTATACTCTTTTATAGGAGTTTCAACTTTTGCGATTTGGTAATAACAGATTTAGGTAAGTAAAAAATGAGAATCTTACACAGTTCTGAAGATTCTAAGTTTGGTTGAGAATTTAATGTTTCATCACCAGTAAACCTTTTGATTCAGTTAAAGACTCAGTTCTGCCTACATCTGCAAGAACTGAGTTGATCTGTACATCAACATTTCTAATGTTTCTTTGGTAGTTGCTGCTGGAGTCAGAAGTTAGGAACAAATCTAATGGCCTTTGTAACGTCCTCTGTCATTTCACCGAGGAATGACTTAGAGGAACAAAGCTTTCCTGTAATTTATTTCTTCAACAGATGGTTAAGGGCACAGCATTGCAGTTAGAATCTTGTTTAAGATACTAGGAGCACGTCCTGGACTAAAAATTTCTACGTAAGCTTTAGCAATAACCTTATAACTTGCTTTGACTTTTTTGTAGAGCTTACAGAATGTATGGCTGCCTAAGTAATACTCTCTGAATTAATGGGTAAAAAAATATATTATGAGTTTTTTATCCTTACGTATGGTGCTAGGATATACTGGATTTGGGCTAACAAAAGCTTGTTAACTTTTTTTTGTCTTATTGACAGAAGTATTTTATATCTCATATTTTACATTACATAGGGGTGTGTGTGTATGAAATAAAAGTTTGAAAATAAAGTGATATATTCTGTTTTTTAATCTGCTCTGTGGTAGTCTGTTTTCATAAAAACAATGAGATCATTACCCAACAAATTTACTTCAGAACTCACATATATACCTATAGCTTTTTCTTTTCAGGTAATGGTCTTCAGAAAACTTGCCTTGTCTTCTCGAGTATTGAACTATTTAAACATTTTATTTTAAGAAGTATACAAAGACATATAGGACATTAAACGTGTTATAGTTTTGTCGCTTGTCTTTTTCATTTGAGTAAGATATTCTATGCCCTTGTATTTGTTACTTCCTTGTACTTTTGGCCCAATAGGCTTGAAAAGTTCCAAGGTACTACTGGGACAGCCAGTGAAGAAGGATCAAGATTGAAAAAATGCATCAGCAAACTGTGTTTGAGCTCTGTTTTCTGTATCTCACTGTCCTGGGTACTAGCCATAGAGTAGTTGTGCAAGGTACTTCTGGTATTTGGCCTCCTTTTACTAGTCCCTATATAACAATTCTGGGCTTTACTTTATAATTCTAGCCTGCTTTCCAGGTGTGAAACGTAGGCTAAGTGTTAGATAGCATGGGAAGGGATGTGTTCATAAATGCAAATAAGAGAGTTGGTTGCATATTTACATAAACTTTTTCTTTAGAATAAGTATACCTTAATTGAACCTCAGATAGTGGCATAGTTTTTTGTTCCCGGTACGAATTTTTTTTTTTGGACAGGGTCTCACTCTGTCACCCAGGCTGGAGTGCAGTGGCATGATCAAGGCTCACTGCCCTCATTCCTGGGCTCAAGCAATCCTCCTACCTCAGCCTCCTGTGTAGCTGGGACTACAGGTATGCACCACCACATCTGGCTGATTTTTAAAAATTTTTTTGTAGAGATGGTGCCTCACTATCTTGTCCAGGCTGGTCTGGAACTCTTGGACTCACACAATCCTCCCACCTTGGCCTCCCTAAGTGCTGAGATTATAGGCGTGAGCCACTATGCCAGGCCCTCTCAGTAACAATTCTTGTTATCCTTAGTTTATACTCCTTCTTTTAATATTTACTTTTTCTGAATCTTTTTTTTTTTTGAGATGAAATCTCGCTCTGTTGCCCAGGCTGGACTGAAGTGGTGCAAAGTGAAGTCGGCTCATGGCAACCCCATCCCCCGGGTTCAAGCAATTCTCCTGCCTCAGCCTCCAGAGTTAGCTGGGATTATAGGTGCCTGCCACTACATTTGGGTAATTTTTGTATTTTTAGTAGAGATGGGGTTTCTCCATGATGGCCAGGCTGGTCTCGAACTCCTGACCTCAGGTGATCCACCCACTTCGACCTCCCAAAGTGCTGGGATTACAGGCATGAGCCACTGTGCCTGGCCCCTTTCTGAGTCTTAAGAGGTATAAATTTAACATCATTATGAAACTTAATTTTTAAATAATGATAGTGAGACAAGATCAACTCCCTTCTGTCTTACTTCAGGACTAAAAGAAGCAAAAGTAAGTTTTAGGCTAAGTTCCTTTTTGTGGATGATTAGAAATGTCATAGTAATTTGTACATTGAAATACATTGAGAACCTGTGGTGTGTGAGAAACTGAAGTTTAGGTCTGTTCCCTAGAAATATTTCTGTGTGAGTATTTAAGTTTATAATAGTATTAGATTAAATGTTCAGCAAGCATAAAATGTCCAGTTAGGTAAAAGGTGAATGTAAAACTACAATTTGAATCTTAAAGTTAACTTACATATGAGAACTCCCCAAATGTTTACTGTACTTGTATATAATAATTTTCAATGGCCCCCAATAGCCTCTCCATAGAGATCTGGCCTTTAGGGCAAGTATCCTCCCATCCTTGGTACCCACAATTTGAAGGGCCTCTTTTCAAAGAGAGATACTTAAAGAACAGATAACAAGCAATCCTGGACATCCATATGGCACATCAGAAGAATAAAAGTGTCAGGCCTATACCTTTCAAGCTCTATAAAAGTGACTCATGTTTAGATACAGGATGCTAGTCATACATTGATTTTTGTTTGTTTCGTTTTTTCTTTTATAGAGACAAGGTCTCTCTGTTGCCCAGGCTGGTCTCGAACCCCTCAGCTCAAGTGATAACCCCCGCCTTGGCCTCCCAGAGTACTAGAATTACAGACATCAGCAATTGCTCCCAGCCTTTTTTATTCTTTTTCTTTTTCTTTTCTTTTTTTTTTTTTAAGCATCATGGGTCTTTGAGGCTCTGAAAAAACTCTGGATTGTCTCCCCCAGACAAGTAGACATAGATCCAGGGTCTGCCCTACAACTCCCAAGAATATAAGAATCTGCTTAAGGCACATCTTAAGAGAATACAAGAATCTGAGCCTTCAGATTTTCCTGCATTGGTGATGGAGTGAGTAGATATAGGAAAAGCAGAAATCTGTTTCTTTTAACCTGATACTGTCATTACATGTTACCATTAATCCTGGATCAGTGTTTCCTTTTATTGCTATTGAAATTTGTTCAGAATGTGGTGAAAGGTGTTACCTGCTATAGGTGGTCCAGAAAGGACAGCCATCCCAGCAAAGAAGCTGGCAAGTCCCAAAAACCTGTTTACTGTAGAATTCCTACACAGATCAACCTGTAGGAATTAGAATTCAGTGTTAGCCACATTAAGGGTGAAATTCTATAGAGACTTCTGCCTAAAAGGGACAAATACTATTTATATAATCTCAAGCTATGAACAGTGTGACTTCTGGGGTGAGTTGGTTGGCTTTTTGCCCCCAGTATTGTGAAAGAGCTGAGGACTAATAGTGAACAGTAACTGCTAGGCAGGCAGTGGTTTCAGTTTATTAGTAAGAATACAAGTTTTTATTTTCATTTTAATTTTTTAGGTGGTTCATGGGTACTTTTTCTTCCCCAAACCTTGCTGCTTTTCCCTATTAGGAAATGATATTTACAATATGAATTGATAGTGATATTCTTTTTTTTTTTTTTTTTTTGAGACAGGGTCTCACTCTGTCACCCAGAGTGGAGTGCAGTTGTATGATCTTGGCTCACTGCAACCTTCACCTCCCAGGTTCAAGTGATTCTCCTGCCTCAGCCTCCCGAGTAGCTGGGATTATAGGCATACGCCACCACACCTGGCTAATTTTTTTATTTTTCGTAGAGACGGGGTTTCACCATGTTGCCCAGGCTGGTCTCCAACTCCTGAGCTCCAGCGATCCACCCGCCTCTGCCTGCCAAAGTGCTGACACAGGTGTGAGCCACCACACCCGGCCAGATGGTGATATTCTTGAATCCCCTAAGGCTAGGTATCAGCCATTGGTTTGTAAGTAATCAGATAACACAAGGAGTTAATTTCAGCTTTAGGAAGCTTGATTTTTGCCTGAGCTTCGTATAATATCCTGTAGCACTTATGCTAATATTGATAGAACAGAAGTTTTCTAGGAAATCTGTTCCAGCATGTTTAGCACCTGGTTCTAAGGAGAACCCATGAAATTCCCAGGGGTTCCCAGAACACAGAAGTATTTGTAGAAGTATTTTGGTTGCATCTGGGTCAAGGACTTTGAGTCAGTTTAGGGTAAAAGTGGAGAGGAAGTATAAAACAATGGCCCTGTGAAAGTACACAGGACCAAAGCAATAACTTCAAGAGAGAAACCACACTGGTAAGGAAATCCGTTTTTCTCTGTGTTCCCAGGGATCTCTTCTTTAAGATTATGTCTTAAAAGGAGCCAAACAAGTTTCTGGAACTGAAGGAGAGAAGTGAACACAAGCCTAATCTAGGAGACTGATAAGTAAAAAGGAATCCTGCTGATCCCTTTTTTGCTTTAATTTTATTGCTGTCCCATGTGGATAGTCCTCTCACCATCCCTCCCCCGTCACACACAAGATGAGTAACTGGACAGGATATAGCTGCAGAGTTTCTAAGATGTTTGAAATGATTTTTTTAAGTTATAAAATTAATACAAAATACATATTTTGGGGAGATTGTTACTGATACTTGCTTTTACTGAATGGTTTAACAATGTTAATGAGTGTGTCTACTCACCAGTACAGGCAGTATCAATGCCAGGTAACCACCAGCAAAGATGGCAAAGCAGATGGTGTAGGTCATAAGTAGTGGAAATGTGGTGGCTAAAGGAGCAAGCAGGTTAGTGATGCCGCAGAGGATGAGGTAAGACTTGTGGTAATGATACTTCTTAATCCAGTTTTGATCAGCAACCCATCCAGAAATAATCTGACTGACCGTCTCAAGGATACCTGGAACAATATTGAAATCTTTTTATTTTCCTAGCCCCTTTCAAAAATGTGAATGCATACGGCATCATTTCCCAAGTAATATGACCTCATCCCGAGGCCAGGATATGTGAGGAAAAAAATGATTTCATTTGTGTACCATGAAGCTCTATTATTTACTTACCTATTCCAAATACATTTAATAAAATAGCAAAAAAGTCTCCGCTAGAGTTGTGTAGAAGACCCCCGTAGTTAGGGTTTTTTTCTGATTGTGTTTGGAAAGCTTACATCATCACTACAGTGGGAATCTTTGGTTACAGAGGACCCTGGGCGCAGAAGGCCATGCAGTCCCTTTGTCTAAGAGGTCCTGCAAGTGAGAAAATGAAGTTTCTAAAAGACAAATAGACCTTCAGGTCAGTGTCTTGGGGAAATTGTATTGTAGAAGATTGGAGTATAAATAAGTCTTCTGTTAAAAAAGAGATGTTGGGACTCATAATTGCATATGAAGTTTTAGGAATTAAGTCCTCCAAAGTTTATGCTTAATTTGAAAATATGTAGTAAGTTTGGAAATGGGAGATCGTATTTTGGACCACTGCACCTGACCAAATCCCTATCTTCTAGATCAAGCATTCTGTCTTTAAACAGTTTTATGAGTAGTCAACTAAAATAGTTGCTTTTATTTATTTATTTTCATTTTATTATTATTATTATTTTTGAAACAGTCTTGCTCTGTCGCCCAGGGTGGAGTGCGGTGGCACAATCTCGCCTCACTGCAAGTTCTGCCTCCCAGGTTCGTGCCATTCTCCTGCCTCAGCCTCCCGAGTAGTTGCTACTACAGGTGCCCGCTACCATGCCCAGCTAATTTTTTGTATTTTTAGTAGAGATGGGGTTTCACCATGTTAGCCAGGATGGTCTCAATCTCCTGGCCTCGTGATTCGCCCACCTCAGCCTCCCAAAATGCTGGGATTACAGGCGTGAGCCACTACGCCCGGCCAGTTGTTTTTATTTTTAATTTACATTTTAACTTATTTTAAATATCAGACAATCCATAAGTGACTAGCCTTAAAAGTTGTATTTATCTGTTTTACTATGAGTTCAAGGGAAAAAATCCTTAGCTACAAATAATAAAACATTACTGAATGCTTGCTACAGGCCAGGCACTATTCTAAACTCTACATGCATTGCTTTTTTGATCCTGACAATCTTATGAGGGTAGATACTATTATCCCTGTATTACAGATGAAATGAAGGCACCATGAAGCAAAGTAACTTGCTGAAATTCCCACAGTTAAGAAATACAGAGCAGGAGGTTGAGCCAGGGAAGTCTTGCTCCAGAACCAATCCTTTGAGCCACTGCACTGTGCTGTCTACCTGGGGTTTTCTGTTCCTTACAATGGCTATTACCACTGAGCATCAGCTTTTTGAAATTTCCACATTTATCTAATAAATAATGTCTACTGTGTCAAACACTGTTATATGAAGATGAGTAAGACTTGTTTTAGTGTCCACTATCTAGTAGGGGAGCCTGTGTGCAGTGACAGAGATCTCTTCCGGGGAAATGCCCAGGTGCTCCATTTAGCCTCAAACATTTTACTTTCTCTGGCCCTTCTACAATTCCTCTTTTGTTTTTCTTTAGCTTTTTGTTAAAATGTAAAAAACTTGTAAAATTAAGTTGATCTTTCCTTTTGGGTAGAAGGCTGACGTAGGCTTTCTTACCTGCTACGGAAACGAGGTAAGAGGCATCCATGATGTCAATCCCCAGTGTTTTGGCTCTGGCTACCAGGTGAAAGGTAGGGATGAAGTATGCTAACTGACTGAGGAGAAAAGACCAAGTAAATATGTAGAAGAAAGGATTTCTAAAGAGAGAAATATCAAAGAGTTGTTTGCAGCTCCACGAGATAACCTTATCACTTTCTTCATTACTTTTTAATAACAGTCTGTTCCTGTTAGGCCCATTGTAGAACTCTTCACTTTGATTTTGTGAGACTATTAAATTTTTGCTAGGTAGTCCAGCCTTCTGCGTAGTACTGTCCTTGATGGTAGACTCTTCTGTCTCATCACAGTGTGTTTCTGTTGCACATGCCTCTGGACCACGTGCAGACAAACTGCTGCCTTTATCTTTAATACCAGAATTCTCAGTTTTGATATGGATGGGTCTTAAGAGCATACTAGAAGGCACCAAATTCAGTGCAATAGCTCCAAATAATATAAGGGCACCTAAATAGGAGGGAGAGATTGAGCAATTAAAAATAGCCTTTCAGTTCACAATACTGCTTTGCGTTCGTAGGCTCAGAAGAGGCCCCACTGGCATAGCCCATTAATTCTTGAAAACATTACTTTGTCTCCGATTTGACTTATTAGTCATATACACTGCAGTATCCATGTACTAATGTAGTGCTTTGGAGATAGAGAACCAGAAAGCTGCACCAATAGATGGGATAAAAGGAGAGGTGGTGGTTATTTGTGTTAAGCATTGGTGGGGGGGGCAAGTTTTTGGAGGGAGAGGAGGGTATTTTAAATGCTAAAATATTAAATAGAAAATTTAGGCCGGGCAGTGACTCACGCCTGTAATCCCAGCACTTTGAGAGGCCGAGACAGGTGGGTCACGAGGTCAGGAGATCGAGACCATCCTGGCTGACATGGTGAAACCCCGTCTCTACTAAAAATACAAAAATTAGCCAGGCGCAGTGGCGGGCGCCTGCAGTCCCAGCTACATGGGAGGCTGAGGCAGGAGAATGGCGTGAACCTGGGAGGCGGAGCTTGCAGTGAGTGGAGATTGCGCTACTGCACTCCAGCCTGGGCAACAGAGCGAGACTCCGTCTCAAAAAAAAAGAAAGAAAATTTAAATATCCTGAAGTGAGAGTACAGATTTAGGTACAGAAAAAATAGAATAAGATGAAATAAATCATTTGGAAACAACCTTAGAAGAGGGGACACCTGGCCAGGTGCTATGGCTCATGCCTATAGTCCTAGCATTTTGGGAAGCTGAGGCAGGCAGATCACTTGAGCCCAGGAGTTCAGGACCAGCCTGGGCAACATGGTAAAAACCTGTCTCTACAAAAAATACAAAAAAAATTAGCCTGGTGTGGTGATATTCACCTGCAGTCCCAGTTACTTGGGAGGCTAAGGTGGGAGGATCGCTTAGCCTAGGAGGTGGAGGTTGCAGTGAGCCGATGTTATGCCACAGCACTCCAGCCTGAGTGACAAAGAGAGCCTATCTCAAAAAAAAAGAAAAAAAAAAAAAAAGGCAGGGGGAGGAAGGCATGGATAGCCTTTCATCCCATGACATTTTTTAGATCTTCCTTAAAAGATGACAGATGCTAATCTTGCCTTTGAAGCTGAATAGTTGCTTGCATTCAGCATGTCCTGATCAAAGCTATGGCTTGTATGGTGCTTCTAAAGATAGAATAGGCTATAGGTTCTGCTATCCTATCATGGATTTGTCAGCTGGTCCCATTCACCATGAGACTACTGAATAGTTAGGAAAGATTCAACAAAACTGCCATGTAGATAGCAATAGGCATGAATATATACATATACATATATTTTTTCCAGTAGTTTAAGATTATTTTAATCCAAATGTCTTAGTTACAAAGAAAATTGTGAGATGAATCATTTTTTATTCATTTGTGAAAATTTGTAGTTGACATTATATAAACTATTAAGGAACATACTCTTTTTACCAAAGTATTTTTCATTTTCATCTATTTTAGTGAGTCTGATGGAGGAGGCATTTTTTAAATGCATATTTTTGTCTTAAAGGGAAAATGGGAAAAGTGAGTGTTTTGAGGGAGGAAGGGGGACGCCTTGTTTCCCCAGGAGTATCGCTTTTACTGCAAGCTGTTTCCAGCTGCACGGAATGCCCTCCATCTCCTCAGACGTTGAGCCCTATGGTAAATTCTGAGTTGAGTATGAGCTGGCAAAGCCTGCAAGTATTTCAAGATCTCCTCTGCATATGTATTCTCCAGGGAAGAGAAGCATATTTACTTTAGAAATTACGCTCATTTCCTCTCTTGCAATACCTTGTGAAATCGATTGCTCTAAAAGTCTTAACTTCCAGTTCTCAAAGGGAGAAAGCTGAATGCTAAATCTTGCACAGTTGATAGTAAAGAAACTTAGAATGACTTACCTGTCCAGTCATACAGATCTATAAGGAATTTTGTAAAGGGTGCCAACAGAAAAGTCAGTCCCATCCCAGAACGGGCAATAGCTGTAGAAAGAGCCAATCGTTTTTTGAAGTATTTGGTAGTTACCACAGCAGCTACTTGGTATAAGAAAGCAGAACCCAAACCTAAAAGAAAAACATAATAGTTTAGAATCACTCTCACATTAAGTGGCTTGGTACCAGAAAAGATAATTTCCTGGATCCAAGATAATAGGCCTTTTGGACCCAGGAACAGTAGAAGGGAAGGGTCCTGTTCCATCTTCTATGGATAGATGCATATATATATACACACACACAGACACACACACACATATATACATATATATACACACACACACACATACATACACACATACATATTTTGAGACAGGGTCTCACTTTGTCACCCAGACTGAAGTGCAGTGGCGCAGGCTCGGCTCACTACAGTCTCAACTTCCTGGGCTCAAGCAATCCTCCTGCCTCAGCCTCCCAAATAGCTGGGACTACAGACATGTGCCACCACTGGCCTGGCTAATTTTTGTATTTTTAGTAGAGACAGGGTTTCACCATGTTGCCCAGGCTGGTCTGGAACTTCTGGACTCAAGTGATCCACCCGCTTTGGCCTCCCAAAGTGCTAGGATTACAAGTGTGAGCCACCACTCCCATCCTTCTATGGTCACATAATTACAAGGAACTCACCAGGTAGAAGTCCCATAGTCACACAAAGAAAAGGAATACTTATGGCCCAGCTGCTGATCAGATATCCACCAGTAACAAGGAAAGCCCCAAGAATGGAGGTAGTTTTCTCTCCAAGTATGTCACAAATAATAGCAACCAGGGGACCTTAAGAGAAGAAAGAAAGGCAATTCTTAGGTAAATATGATCTGGCATCTCTTATCCTCTGATGGCGATTTAAATGAATGACAAGGAAAGCAAGAGGACTGTTCACTTTGAAGCATTATGTATTCTTCAAAAAATATTTTCATATCGGGTTTTTTAATATCACTAGTCTCACACTATTTTAGTTTTTGGAAGGGGAGTTTAAAAGAAAATGTTTATTGCAAATAAGGTTTGGAGGGGAGGTGTTTTGAAATTCATTATAGAACCTCCACGAAAAGATTGCATATAGTGGTCAATGACTAGAATAAGGTTGAATCACTTATCTGCTCTTCCATCCTGTTACAGCTCCAAATAAAAGAGGAGAAATTGGTTCTATAATTTGTTTTGAGGCTGGACGCCGTGGCTCTTTAATCTCATACTTTGGGAGGCCAAGGTGGGCAGATCACCTGAGGTCTGGAGTTTGAGACCAGCCTGGCCAACATGGTGAAACCCCATCTCTACTAAAAATACAAAAATTAGCCAGGCATGGTGGCGGGCGCCTGTAATCCCAGCTACGTGGGAGGCTGAGGCAGGAGAATCGCTTGAACCTGGGAGATGGAGGTTGCAGTGAGCCAGGATTACACCACTGCACTCCAGCCTGGGCAACAGAGTGAGAGTCTGTCTCAAAAAAAAAATAAATAAATAAATAAAATTGTTCTGAGTATACTTAGATAACTAGAACTTCATGGCCTAACTTCCAGGTTGAGGGCCTTACTCACTGAACCCATATTAAGGCATTAACAGACTGGAAAGGCAATGCATGAAATACTGAATCATGGCATTTAATAATTCTTCATCTTTCTTTCTTTGAATGCTGATTCTCCCAACTTTGTTACTAAGTCAAGTGGAAGCTAAATATTGCAATTCCTTACTTTCTTAGTGTTACATAATGAACCTGAATTTTAGCAATGCTTCAGTCTGGAATAGGAATCTTGGAATTGCCCTTTGTGGTTTTTCTCTTTGGACAGCAAGCTTATTGCCAGCCTTATACCTGCACAAAAACGAAGAGATGACATGATGGATCCAATCCAACCAATTTGCTCTGAGGTGCCTTCAAACTCTTCTTGAAAGACCACAAAGAAAATTGCAAAAGTCTTGGTCATCCCCATCACAAACACATTCACCTAAATCAAAGCAGACCAGAGTCCAACTCAGGTGGTAAGTCAGCCATTACAGAGGCAATTACGGCTACTAGAAGTTATGATTCCCTTAACCTACAACTATTTACCAGTTTGCCTTATTGGTTGAGCCTCATTATACATCTTATATTTTATGGGGGAAGTCATTACTTTTAAAGTAGCTAAGCATTTTAAATGGAAACATCTCATTTAATTCTCATTTCATGGCTTTAGAATAGGCATGCCAGTGTTGTATACCAAATAATTTATACCAAATAAACCATCCAATGGGTTCACCTTGCCTGCTGCCTAGATACAGCTGATATATCAAGACGGGAATTGGCAGTAGAGAAAGAGTTATTCCCACAGCGCCCATTGTGCAGGAGACTGGAGTTTATTATGCCAGTCAGTTTCCCTGAGGTTTTGGGGATCAGAGTTTTTAAGGATAATTTGGTGGGTGGAATGCCAGTGAGTTGGGAGTGCTGATTGGTTGGGTCAGAGATGAAACAAAGCTGCCCTTTTGTGCCTAGTCACTTCTGGATGGAAGGGCAGGGGCAGGGGCAGGGGCGGGGGGACCCATGACCAGATAAACCAGTTTATTAATCTGGGTGGTGCCAGCTGATCCATCAAGTGCAGGGTCTGCAAATTATCTCAAGCACTGATCTTAGGTTTCATAATAGTGATGTTATCCCCCGAGCAATTTGGGGAGGGTCTGTCTTGTAGCCTCCAGCTGTATGATTCCTAAACCATAATTTCTAATCTTATGGCTAATTTTTAATCCTACAAAGACAATCTAGTCCCCAGGCAGAAAGGAGGTGGTTTTTTTTGTTTGTTTCGTTTTGGTTTTTTGGGGGGGTTTTTTTGGAAAGGGCTGTTAGTTTCTCTTTCAAAATTAAGCTATCAACTAAGTTTCCCCCAAAATTAGTTCAGCCTACACATGGGAATGAACAAGGACAGCTTGGAAGTTAGAAGCAAGATGGAGTTGGTTAGGTCAGATCTCTGTCTCTGTAATAATTTTCTCAGTTATAATTTTGCGACAGCAGTTCCAAGATCAGGAAATTGAAGTTTAGAGAGGTAAAAAGTTGCTTAAAATAGGGGTACTGGAACTGAGATTTGAACCCAGATTAGACTGACTCTAGATCCGGTACTCCTCTACTGCCCTCAGTAGCATCTGTTAAAGACAGCTAATTTCAGTTACCTTTGTGGGAGAAAAGTGTTTGTCCATAAGAGGAATAATTATTCCTGTCAGTTCTTAGATTAGTTTTGATTTAACTCTGCTGCTGAGCTGAGTACCTTCCTTCACTTGATATATAAATAGGTTGACCATATAATGTATCATCCAAATTGAGACACTCAAGAGTGAAAAGGGGTGCTTAATTTTGGATTAACTGGGATGTATGGTCACCTTAAGGTTGGGCCAGGTGCCCCATCCTTTTCTTTCTGCCCCACCTAATCTTCCTTACCTGCACTCCACTAGAATTGCTGCTTTGGAGATGAGGTTTTCTTTCTGTGGAGTATTAACTTTTATTTCTCAGAATTCTAGTTAGCCGGGGGGCTGTTAAGTGCTATTCTTTCTTTCCCTTTTTGAGTAACAGTCATACTTGATCCCACAGGGGTCTAGAGGGGAAACCTAGCCAGGGTTTGCATTCAGTCTCAAAGCCCAGGAGCCATGTGTACTCTCTATCTCCAGGGGCTTCCTGGCTTCCCCTTTTCCTTTCCTTGTTTCAGTAGCACTGGCTTTTCAAGGCCACCTCTGCTTTCAACCTGGCCGTGCATTGCTTATGAACCATAAAACCAGCTGGGCATGGAGGCTTCTGCCTATAATCCTAGTACTTTGGGAGGCCAAGGTGGGTGGATCGCTTGAGCCCAGCAGTTCAAGACCAGCCTGGGCAACATGGCAAAACCCTGTCTCTACAAAAAGTACAAAAAATTAGCTGGGCATAGTGGTACAACACCTGTAGTCTCAGCTACCTGGGAGGGTGAGGTAGGAGGATCACCTGAACCTGGGAGGTCAAGGGTACAGTGAGCTGTGATCACACTATCTGCACTCCAGCCTGGGTGACAGTGAGACCTTGTCTCAAAATTAATAATAATAAAAGAACCACAAAGCCTTAGGTTCCCTTTCATTAATGCCACTTTCTCAGCCCATCTGTTACAGTTCTGTACTCATCTCGCTTAATACCTGTTCCCTGAGACAATCATTCACTCTCAAGGTTTTAATTACCACCTGCATACTTATGGTGGTGTAGCTGAATAGGGTTCTGCAATCAGTCTGCCTTAACTTGCATCCAGGCTGTGCTTCCTACTGGGGCGTGACCTTGGGCAAACTACTTCGCACATCACAGGGGTTAAGCTTCCTCTTTTATGATGGAGGGGCAGCGGTGGGGGATGAAAATGTTACCTAGCTCATAAGACTGTGAAGAGTAATTGAGAAAATTCTGATACGGTACTTAATATTTGGCACTTAACACTCAAAACAATTAACTGTGGTTTCCATTCTGCTTTCCCGAGAGCTTTAAATTCCTCTAATTGTCTACCATATCTTTCTAACTTCTAGTCAACTTGTCCAAACATAAACTCACATTTCCCTTATCCTATGCCTACTCTTTTCAGTTTTTTCTATTGGTACCATTCACTCATTCATTTGAATGAGAGATATGCTTTCTCTTAGATACCTCCCTCCCTCAGCCCCTGCTTTTAAATAATCGTCAAGACCTGCCCCCTTCTTTTCACCCCATCACTATTGGCGATGCTCAGAAATTGCAACAGTGGTAGTGGTGAGGAAGAAGTCTCTTAATATACTTTTCCCCTTTCTGATTTGATAAAAGGAACAAACTTATTTAGAATGAACAGTGCTGTAAACGCCAGGACTATATATTCAAAAGTTAAAAAGACATTTTATCAGGCCTCCATTTAGGCAATTTATAACCATAATTTTCCTCTAAGGCACTTCTGTCAGGCTAGAAATTAGGCTAGAAAATATATACAGATCTCAAATGACTTGGACTTTCTTCTGTCAGTTCATAATAATGTGGTGATTGTGTCCGTTCATGAGCAGGGAGTACTAAAATGCATCATTCTGTAAAATAAACTTCCTTTTGTTCTGTGCTGGTATCTAGAGGATGTTGACCTCTATATTCTTAGCTACCTAAATTTAGCTAGCTCCTGGTCCCCCAGTTCAGAGCTTTTTGTCTCTGATTTGTCCTTGATGTCTGGGTGTAGCAGCAGTGAATGGTTAGGACTTGTCTCTAATAACTGGGTCCGTGTCCACTGTGTATCAAGAAGACCAAGGGCAGAGCCTTTGCACCTACCATGCTTACTGTCCCTTAACTTGAAGTCTTCCAACTTTGTTTGAGTTTTGACTCAAAGATATTAAAACTCTCTCCCAAGGTGTAGGTTTTTTCTTAGTTAATTTAGCAGACGACATAAATCTGCATTATTCTACATAATCCCATGTCTTAGACCAAGCTTGGTAGGTTTCAGTTCTGTTACCAGAGTCCACATCATACATGGTAAATGACTCACTCCAAAATAAAGCAAAAACCCTAGAACTTCTCCAGTCCCCTCATTTTCTTTTTGTCTTTAAGAGCAGTTAATTGGGTTGAATCTGGCAGGAACACCTTAAGCAGGCCTTCCCCACACCCCACCTCCAGTAAGAGTTTCCTCACTAGATCATTTTAATTATTGTCTTGGGAAAGGAGTTGGATCAGCCTCAGTGACTTATTTTCAATACAGGGACCAGGCTTTGTCAGAGTTAGTTTTATCTAATAACAACTTCTTATCCTGCATCCCTTTCTAGTACCACCCTAGCTCCTCCTGACCTTCACAGGCAAGTTTCTGTAAAAAATACTCTATTAGGTATCTCAGCTTTCTGTCATTCCGCTACTCCACTGAAAACTAAAGTTCACTACCTTTGGCCCCCACTGCTCCACTGTACTAGCTCTTATCAAGGTTATGGGACTTTTTTGTTGCTAAACCAATACTCTTATTTCTCTCCTATTTGACCTCTCAGTAGCATCTGCTTATCACATTTCTCTGAAATGCAAATCTATGACATCCCTGCTTAATTTTTCTCATTAGCTTCTCATAGCCTCAAGAGCCATTCTCATCTCTTCAATTTCATCAACTATCCCCTTCATCCTTATTTGTTTATTCATAAATGTGTGCAGCTATCAATTCACCCATCTATCCATCCACCAACAGTATTTACTGAGTGCCTACTATGTTCCAGGCTGTATACTGGCACTGGGCTTACAGTAATGAGCGTATACTCATGAGCAATGCAGACGAAGGCCCTGCCCCCACAGAACATTCAGTCTAGTAAGACAGACTGAATACAGAAAACAGTCATACAAATATATAAAGTGTGGCAAGTTGGTTAGAATGAATCTCTCTCTCTTTTTTTTTTTAAGTAGGAAGCTCCCAAAGAACATTGTTATTTTTCACTTACCAGGAGCTCATCTGTTATAGAAAAGAACACTTGTAAGTCATACAGAAACAAAAGCACAGTCATTCAAGTGTGCACATTACAACTGTGGGGGATTAGCCTCTGAATTTATTGTTAACATTTTGAGGATCCAGTGCATTTTTTGTGCTTAGTAAGCAGTATCACACCCTAAAAGTGGTACAGTGTTTATTAATCTGGTTATTAGATGGTTTTTCTTATGAGCAACTGAATTGGTCAAAAACCATTCTATCCTCAGAGGATAATGTAGAAAAAGTCAGGGTGGTTACTGGGGAGAAAGGCAGGAGAATTAGAGATCCTCACCAACAGTGCCCATTCTGCAAAACCTATGATTTAGGGAGGTGGCCCAGCCACAGGAAGGGCTCTCAGACTTAGGGCATCCTTTAGTTTCTCTATTAGTAACATTTCTGGGAGGAAAATGAGATTCCACATTCTTCAGTACTGAAGCTAATGTTTAGCAAGTACTACCATTATCTGTTAGGAGTTTTGTATTACATAAATCCTGGCTGGGGACCTCTGCCCCTAACTTCTGTAGCACTAGGGAGGAGGCCTGATGTTTTCCCACCATCCTATTTGTAGAGTTCTTAGTTATCTGCATGTGAACTATAGGATTATTAGAAGGCACCAGGACTTGTGCTACCCTTCCCTGTGAACTGCTTACTGTAGGGCTGAGTAGGGGAGAAGTGTCGGCAAGAAGGGTATTTTTTTGAGTGCATGTGCCGCTGGTGCTGCTCTCTGGAGAGCTGTGTGGGGCATAGCTGGGATTCACCGACATTCTGGAATGGGCATGCTGATGATGCAGATCACCACTGTCACACCTCAACCCCTGGGAGGGTGAGGGAAAGAAGTTAATTTAAAAAATGGAATGCCTAGTCTAGTTGCTTATGGGTGAAGGAGAAAAATCAGGCTCCCCCTTCAAAATCCGTGTCCTCCCTTTCCAAACACATTGGAAATATAGATAGCATAAACTATAGTTAGTGGGGATGGATTGGGAAGTAGACAGCAGGCCAGAGGAAACGTCCCCACCCCTTATCAGTGGAGGGGGCTGTGCCAGCAGTGCTCTATCTATGCTGGGCTGAACTGGGGAGACCACCCCCAGAGCACTTTTTAGCACCTCTCAGTGCTACTTTTGGGATGGTTAAAAGTGTGATTGTCCCCAAACCCTAACTGCCATGCAGCCAGTACAGAACTGCTGATTGTGACTGAACATTCTCAGGTTTAAGAGGTGGTAGACAGGAAGATTAGAGGACTGGATTCAGGAACGTTTCTGTTTGTTTGTTTTGAGAGAGTCTCTCATGGTTGCCTAGGCTACAATGGAGTGGCAGGATCTTGGCTCACTTCAGTCTCCGCCTCCTGAGTTCAAGCAATTCTCCTGCCTCAGCCTCCCAAGTAGCTGGGACTACAGGCGCATGCCACTGCACTCAGCTAATTTTTGTAGAGATGGGATTTCACCATGCTAGCCAGGCTGGTCTCGAACTCCTGACTTCAAGTGATCCGCCCACCTAGGCCTCCCAAAGTGCTAGAATTATAGGCGTGAACCCCCACACCCAGCCCAGGAACATTTCTGCTTTCGCTCCAGGGGTATTTTCAGCTTTCTCCTAGGTTGGGCATGGGCCTCTGACTTTAGCAGTTTTTGGCAGCTCCTGGCCTTGTTCCTGCCCACCCCTCCAGTCAGGTGCCAAAGATTTCCTAAGTGATCTTATTTGTAGGCAGCCCTGAGCCTTTCTCCAGAAAGCCTGCTTTCAGGCAATAGGAAAGGGGGAAAAAAGCGAAATCTTACCAGGAAAAAATGAACCACAATCATCCATCCCCATCCTCCATCCGGGGTTTCAGTGTAAGGTCGGGCCTTCCCCTCCCTCTTCAGCATGATGCCTCTTCTATTTTAAATGCAGAAGATCCCTGTGATAAATCCAAGACAGTTGATTCAGTGGACCAGAAACTAAACTTTTAAACTTTTTTATCTGAAAGGGAATGTTCATACATTGTTGGTGGGAATGCAAATTAGTTCAGCCACTGTGCAAAGCAGTTTGGAGATTTCTGAAAGAACTAAAAATTGAACTACCATTTGACCCAGTAATCCCATTCCTGGGTATATACCCAAAAGAAGATAAATTGTTCTACCAAAAAGCCACATGCACTTTTATGTTCACTGCAGCATTATTCACAGTAACAAAGACATGGAATCAACCTATGTGCTCATCAAGAGTGGGTTGGATACAGAAAATGTGACACATAGACACCATGGAATACTACACAGCCATAAAAAAGAACAAAATCATATCCTTTACAGCAATATGGATGCAGCTGGAAACCATTATCTTGAGCAAACTGATGCAGAAACAACCAAATACTGCATGTTCTCACTTATAAGTGGGAGCTAAACATTGGGTACATACGGATGTAAAGATGGGAACCACAGTCACTGGGGACTACAAGATAGGGAGGGAGGAGGGTTGAAAAACTCCCTATTGGGTGCTATGCTCACTACCTGGGTGACGGGTTCAATTATACTCCAAATCTCAGCATCACACAATATACCTCTGTAGCAAACCTACACATGTACCCCCTGAATCTAAAATAAAAGTTGGAATTTAAAACAAAACAGCAAAAAAACCTTTTTTCCTCTGATATAAAACCACTTGTAATTTTTCTGAAGCCCCTCAGTTACAGATGAAGTCTGCCTGATGCAACTAAGGACTTAGTTACCTGGAAAGCCTGACCTCAGTGACTGTAGGGTGGCCAATCTGAAAACTGTACTCAGTGTCCCTCGCCCCAGGTCTGCAAGCCAGTTTCTTGGGGAAGCTGTACATCACCCTGCTGGTCCTCTGGGTGAACTCTCGACTTAAGAGATAGAAAGGGAAGGGAAGCCTTGAGTTTAGGAATTCTCCTTAGAAAACACTTGCTAAATGTAAATATTTTTGGAGCTAAACAGACGTGACAACGAAATGCGATACCCGCTCATTGAATATATCCTAGATCAGAAAAAAAGTTGTAAAAGACAGTTTGTGGGGACAATTGGGGAAACTTGAATATGGACTGTATAATACGGAATACCAAGGTTAACCTCTTGGATATGATGGTGATCTTGTGGTTCCACAAGAGAATATTCTTAGGAGATACATGCTAAAGTATTCAGGAGTAACATGACACTGTGCTACCTTCTCACAATCGGTTCTGTAAAACAAACAAGTATATATAAAGAATGATAGCAAAAAGAAAATGTAAATGTTCTGAGGAAGGGGGAACAGTACTCATTATTTTCCCTGGTGGGTTGAAGGCTGACTGTTTCTAACTGAAAAGGAAAGTCAGCTGGCAGGGTGTGCAGAATGGCCATCTGGTGAGCAGGCTGGGTAGGGAGAGATGCCAGTCATCGAAGACGTCGTAGAAAACCAACCCAGCACACAGTCCCATTCCCATCTTACCTTTGATGTGGTGTTCAGCAAAGAAATCCTCCACAGATCGGGCAATTAAGGAAGAAAAATAAATTACACCATTTTCTGGAATGTTACTCTTTTTCTAAGGCATTTCATTTTACTGCACTGTGAAAACAAGTAAGCATTGTAAGAGCCAAGGAGGGCTCAGACGATTTAGGCCCTCCTGCTAGTGGACTTTACTTCCTGAAGGGAGGAGAAAGAACTGTGATTTGATGTCATCTCAGGCCCTCCCTCCACCCACAGTCGCTCAGAAGGTAGAATTTTTTGCCGCAGGCTCAAAAGCAAGCATAGAGTAAACTAAGTGGAAAGTCCTTTTGGCGACTATGCTCAGGGCAGGGGGATGGGGCTCCAGAGCTCTCATACACTTGTCTTCAAAGTTCCTCAGGGAACTTCTCATGACATGCTTATTTTACAGGAGAATATAAAACTGTATGAGTGGCGAGAGAGGCATTTCCTGGGCCACAAACAGTAATCTTCAGTAAGCTCAACCCATTCGTGTGGCCTTTTGTATATTGACTAAAGATTCTGCTTACTAATTTGGGGTTTCAGACCCCATTTTAATTGCATTTTTGAGACCTGATTACCTCAACCACCTCCTGCAAAAGATGTATGCTCGTAGTAACTTTAACGAGATGGTTTTTTATTTTGGAAATGGTTAGGGCTGAGACTCCTAGAAAATTACTGGGATAATTCAACTTTCTCTTCCCATTTCCTCCCTCTACTCTACCCTCCACATAAAAGGAAACAAAACAAACAAGTCAAATGGGAAATTGTCTTTCGTCTCCCACACCAATATTCCAGATTTTAAACCAGAGTATATTTTAGATGAAAGGATGTGTTTTTAGTTTTATCTGGAAAATCTGCACATATTTATGCATGCTCCTTTTTAAAAAGCAAGAGGCTTCTCAGGTTCTTAAAATCAAACCCTATAACACTTTTTGATTAAAGTGCTTGCAGAAGGACAGCTTAGTTGTTTGGGAGGGTGTCCTGTAAGTGTAACCATGGAAGGATTATGCGGTTACATGATGCTGGTGGCAGGGATCAAATAAACATTCAGCAGAAGGAGAAAACCAGAAGAGAGAAGGCAAATGCTTTCCAGAGAGCTGTTTGTAATTATGAATACACTCTAGACTATATATATATATATTTTTTTTTTTTTTTTTTTGAGACAGAGTCTCACTCTGTTGCCCAGGTTGGAGTGCAGTGGTGCAATTTCGGCTCACTGCAACCTCTGCCTCCCGTGTTCAAGCGATTCTCCTGCCTTAGTCTCCCAAGTAGCTGGGACTACAGGTGCACACCACCACGCCCGGCTAATTTTTTGTATTTTAGTAGAGATGGGGTTTCACCGTGTTGCCCAGGCTGGTCTTGGACTCCTGAGCTCAGGCAATCTGCCTGCCTTAGCCTCCCAAAGTGCTAGGATTACAGACATAAGCCACTGTGGCTGGCCTGAAAACATTTTTTAGTAAACAAGACTGATTTATTTATTTATTTATTTGGTGGCCCGCTTGTTGCTCTTTTAAAGCAGGGCTATCTATGGTTTCTTTTTTTATTGAGACAGGGTCTGCTCTATTGCCCAGGCTGGAGTGCAGTGGCATACTCATGGCTTACTGCAGCCTTGACCTCCCCAGTTCAAGCAATCCTCCCACCTCAGCCTCCTGAGTAGCTGGGACTACAGGCATGCGCCACCATGCTCAGCTAATTAAAATTTTTTGTTGTTGTTGTAGAGATGGGGGTTTCATCCTTTTACCCAGGCTGTTTGCAATCTCCTGGGCTCAAGCGATCCTCCCATCTTGACCTCCCAAAGTATTTGGATTACAGGTTTAGCCACCATAATGGGCCAGCTACCTATAATTCTAATCACAGGATGAAATGAGGCAAGACTTTATATATATTTTTCTCACACACACAGAGGAATATATATACACATACATATATACATATAGGAATATGTACACATACAAGAATATATACACATATAGATGAATAGGAATATATATGTGTGTACACACACACACACATATATTCCTATTCATCTTTATCTTATAACAGGTTTTATTTGATAGAGAACTCTGATGCTAATGCCTGGGGTCAGATTTGAAATGCAGCAGAACAGGAAGTCATTCATAGAGGCCAAGAGGGCAGCAAAGTAATCAGAGAGTAACTCCTTCAAATCAGAGAATAACTCCTTCAAACATATGTTTCATGAAGGCACATTAACAGAAATCTGCAGGCTTGGTGATAATCTCAATTTTGTCATTTTTTAAGCCCGTAGACTCTTTGAGTCTGTTTCTAAAACTCTAAAGTGTATCTAATATTTTGCAAGGTTGTTGTGAGGATTAACAATATATCATGTAAGATGACTACACATTGGACCTACTATTGGTACTTGGTTCATGAAAAATAATTTTCGTTAGTCAAATGAGGCCTAATAGCAAGAACAAAGAATTCTTAAGCCACCTTTGGGATATTAGTTAACATTTTGGCAGCTGTACCTGATTGACTTAATAAAGCTTATAGGGTCTTTAAGGAAACATAAACAATTCCCTTAACTTCTAACCTTTTAACTCTTGGCCCTAAAGCTATTCAGCAAGAATGCAGCATGATTTTGCAATCATCACCCAAGGTAATCATCATGATTACTCTCATCCCACTGTCAAATATAGCCAGCCCAGGAATAATCTTTAACGCTTTTGGATTTAGACTTTAATAAGCATTACCAACTAGAATTAAGATATTTTATTTTCAGTTGACTCTCTCCTTGCCCTCATTCAATTCTTGTGCAGAAAAGAGTTACTGGCAAGAGATTCCTATTCTTTGAAACATCACTGGCCTGAGATTCCTATTCTTTGAAAGGCCTGTTTACATGGTTGGCCTCTGGCTGGCAACTGGGAACTTAGATTTCAGGGGGGTTCCTACCATTCCTTAAATGATAATAGTGAATCATTGTGCCTAAAGTATGTAAACAATACAATTTTTATGCTGAACGTTTGCTTTCTTTTTGGGAGCCTGGAATTTCGATATGTGCTAGGCAGAGGGTTCTTACGTGACCAGCCCCCTTGGGCACTGAGTCTCTACTAAGCTTTCTGGATTTGCAACATTTCACACATGTTACAACTCATTGCTGGAGGAATTAACTGCATCCTGTGTATCTTCACTGATAGAAGAATTCTTGCAAGCTTCTGCCTGGTTTCTTCTGGACTTTGCCCCATCCTCCTTTTGCCTTTGTTGAGTCAGCTTTGTATCCTTTCACTTTAATAAACCATGTAAGTACAACAACTACGTGCTCGGTCCTGTGAGTCATCCTAGTGAATTATCAAACCTGAGTGGTTGAATGAGTCTGGGTTATTGAGAAAGAATAGAATATTCTCCAGAGCAAGAACCAGTGATGGGGGAGGAGATATTGAGGTTGATTTACTATAAGAATTGACTCACATGATTATGGAGACTGAAAAGCCTGCACTCTGGTCAGCAAGCGGGACAATCAAGAGAGTTGATGGTGTAGTTCCAGTCTGAGTCCAGAAGCCTGAAAACCAGAAGTGCTGATGGTGTAAGCTTTAGTCTGAGAGGGCCTGAGAACCAGGAGAGCCATTTGTGTAAGTTCCATTCTGAGTCTGAGTCCAAAGTCAGGAGAAGACCAATGTCCCGACTCCAGGACAGTCAGGCAATGAGAAATTCTTTGTTAGCCTTTTATTCTAGTCAGGCCTTTAATGGATTGCATGAGTTCCGCCCACATTGGGGAGGGCAGTCTTCTTCAGTCTACTGATTCAAATGCTGATCTCATCCAGAAACACCTTCACAGTTGCACCCCAAAATAATGTTTAGCCAAATACCTGAGCATCCCATAGCCCAGCCAAGCTGACACATAAAATTAACTGTTATAGAAGTGTCCTGGGACTCCCTCATACAAGCATACTTCAGTTTTGGCTCTGTACAGACTAGAAAATAAGCCTTCTCCAGCCTCAAGCTCTTTCCAGCGTGTCTTATGTTTCATTGATAAATTGGATACATTATATCCTACCTCAAAGGGTGCTGTGAAGAATAAATGAGAATGTATGTTCATTTATTTCATTCAATAAAAACAGTTGCTTTCCATGTGCCAGATGTTGTGCCAGACAGAGGGGGCTATATAGTGCACACAGGCTGGCATGAGATGTGGCCCAAGGGGTTAGCAGGGGCTAAATCATGCAGGGGTTGGGAGGTCACGGTTAAAACTTTTTTAATTAATTTTTTTTTTTTTGAGACAGGGTCTCGCTCAGTCACAGCCCAGGCTGGAGTGCAATGGCACAATCTCATCTCACTGCAGCCTCTGCCTCCTGGATTCAAGTGATTCTTGTGCCTCATCCTCCTGAGTAGCTGGGATTATGTGCACCACCACACCCGGCTAATTTTTTTTTTGGATTTTTAGTAGAGATGGGGTTTCACCATGTTGGCCAGGCTGGTTTCGAACTCCTGACCTCAAGTTATCTGCCCATCTCGGCTTTCCAGAGTGCTAAGATTACAGGCATGAACCACTGTGCCCAGCCATAACTTTTTAATTCTAAATGCAATGGAAGGCTGTTCATAGTGGCTCACACCTATAATCCCGGCACTTTGAGAGGCCAAAGTGGGTGAATTAGTTGAGGCCAGGAGTTTGAAACCAACCTGGCCAACATGACGAAACCCTGTCTCTATGCAAAAATTAGCCAGGTGTTGTGGTGCATGCCTGTAATCCCAGCTACTCGGGAGACTGAGGCACAAGAATCACTTGAACCCGGGAGGCAGAGGTTGCAGTGAACTGAGATTGTGCCACTGCACTCCAGTCTGGGTGACAGAGCGAGACTGTCTCAAAAAAAAAAAAAAGAAAAAAAGAAAAAAAAAAAAGACAAAGCTTGTGCCCTCAAAGTGTGTATACTAGTGGGGAAGTCAGACATAAAACAACATGTATGTCAGTTATTAATAAGTATGGTGAAGACCACACATATATATCCCATCTATTAAAGTACAAGCTCAAAGACTGGAGCTATGTCTTACTAAAATGTTTGCTGTTCTCACATAGCACCTTATATTTGTAGATGCTTAATATTTTTGGATAAATAATATTCTGGAGGTTTTTACACTGTCAAATGTTAAATTGCTAGATCAACAGAACTGCATTCAAGTTCAACGATCCATCTTTTGTGCCTGCTTGTGCACAATTCCGTTGTTGAAAACTATAAAGGTTGAAGCGAACTTTTTTTTTTTTTTGAGATAGTGGCTTGCTCTGTTACCCAAGCTAGGGTGCAGTGGCACATCATCAACGTCAACCTTCTAGGCTCAAGTGACCCTCCTGCCTCAGCCTCCCGAGTAGCTTGGACTACAGGCCCATGCCACCATGCCTGGTTAATTAAAAAGAGCTTTTTTTGTAGAGATGGGGTCACAGTATGTTGCCCAGGCTGGTCTTGGCTTAAGCCATCTCCTGCTTTGACCTCTCAAAGTGCTGGAATTACAGGTATGAGTCACTGTACTCAGCTAGACCTATACTTTTCAAATGTAAAAATTTATTTTCTAGCCAACATGTCCTATTTGGTGGTCTGGGTGTTAAAGAGTACAGACTCAGCTGGGCGCGGTGGCTCATGCCTGTAATCCTAGCACTTTGGGAGGCTGAGGCAGGCAGATCATGAGGTCAGGAGATTAAGACCATCCTGGCTAACACGGTGAAACCCCGTCTCTACTAAAAATACAAAAAATGAGCCAGGTGTGGTGGTGGGTGCCTGTAGTCCCAGCTACTGGGGAGGCTGAGGCAGGAGAATGGCATGAACCCGGGAGGCAGAGCTTGCAGTGAGCCGAGATCATGCCACTGCACTCCAGCCTGGGCGACAGAGCTAGACTCCATCTCAACAACAACAAAAAAAGTACAGACTCTGAGTTGGAGTCCTGAGTCCAAATGATGACTCTGGTAATTTCATAGCCTTAGTTACACAAACCTAAGATAGGGTAAATAAGAGTACCTACTGTATAGGGTTGTTAAGGAAAATTAAATGAGTTCCTGCCATATAGTATAGCTGATCCTTGAACAACACGGATCCACTTACACATGAATTTTCTTTCACCTCTGCCACCCTGAGACAGTGAGACAAACCCTCCTTTTCATACTACTCATTGTGAAGATGACATATACAAAGACCTTTATAACGATCCACTTCTACTTAATGAATATTAAATATATATTATCTTCCTTCTAGTTTTAATAACATTCTTTTCTCTAGCTTACTTTACTGTAAGAATATAGTACATAATACATAAAACAGCTGGGCACGGTGGCTCATTGCCTGTAATCCCAGCACTTTGGGAGGCTGAGGCAGGTGGATCGAGGTCAAGAGATCGAGACGATCCTGGCCAACATGATGAAACCCCGTCTCTACTAAAAATACAAAAATTAGCCAGGTGTGGTGTCACATGCCTGTAATCCCAACTACTCGGGAGGCTGAGGCAGAAGAATCGCTTGAACCCGGGAGGCGGAGGTTGCAATGAGCCGAGATCGCACCACTGCACTCCAGCCTGGCAGCAGAGCAGGACTCTGTCTACCAAAAAAAAAAAACAAAAACAAAAACCAAACCAAAAAGACATGAAACATAGAAAACTAGTGTTAATGTTTAAGTCAGTAGGCTATTGAGGGGTTAAAAGTTATATTTAGATCTCTGACTGCACAGGGGTGGGATCCATGGATGTACCTGGTGAGAATGTAGGTATTTCAGGAAGCTTCTTAAACAAAAGCAAGTAATTTAGAACAAAGACCTTTTAAAACAATTACAATTTGATAACTGAACAAAAAGAACATTTGGTTAAGTTTAAAGAATCTAGAAAAGATCCATTTTCCTCCAAACAGATTTATTGAATATAGCAAAATTCTATATACAAAGTGACCTGGACATGCTGCTTCAAAACATGATCCTTTCTTACTAACATCTTGATAGTCGGTCCATAGAGCATTAGAAAGCAATTGACTCTTAAATAAATAGAAAAGTGCCCAATGTACATTAAATGAATGGCCTAACTACTGGAACTTTAGTAGTTCTATAAGGTAATTAACATAGGTAGGATCGAGTTCCTGTGACAGACTGCTGAAGAACAGATATGAGGTGTCAAGAGGCCATTTTGTGCACTGCCACTGTGATGCCATCATGTTTCTGGATCATAATGTTCCTGAAATGCAAGGAAGAAAATATTCAGTAAGACATTATCAGTGGTACTTCACTGTAAGATTAAAGATGTTGTTTGGCTTAGGACACAATGTATAAAATAATGTAATTGTTCTCTATGTATAAAACCAATAAACATAACAAAACATTTGGGAAATACATAAACATATAGCATATAAACACGAAATGAATCCTTAATCCTACTACACACAGACCACCACTGTTAATATTTCCCTGGTTCTTTGTTTTGGTTTTTTTAGGCACTCTCTTGCTATGTTGCCCAGGCTGGCCTCAAACTCCTGGACTAAGCAATCCTCCTGCTTCAGCCACCTCAGTAGCTGGAACTACAAAAAAAGGCTTTCCTGGTCCTTGTTTTCTTTGCATGTATATGATACAGTCATGTGCTGCATAACAATGCTTCAGTCAACAGTGTACCCTACATATGATGGTAGTCCCATAAGATTATAATGGAACTGAAAAATTCCTATTGCCTAGTGACCTTTTAACTGTCCCAACGTCACATAGCACAACACACTACTCACATGTTTGTGGTAATGCTGGTGTAAACAAATTGTGCTGCCAGTCATAAAAAGTATAGCACATACAATTATGTACAGTACATAACACTTGATAATAAATGACTATGCTATGGTTTATGTATTTACTACACTTTTTTTTTTTTTTGAGATGGAGTCTTGCTCTGTTGCCCAGGCTGGAGTGCGCTGGAGTGCACTGGCGTGATCTCTGCTTCCCGAGTTCAAGCAATTCTCCTGCCTCAGCCTCCCGAGTAGCTAGGATTACAGGTGCCTGCCACCATGCCTGGCTAACTTTCGTATTCTTAGTAGACACAGGGTTTCACCATGTTGGTTAGGCTGGTCTCGAACTCCTGACCTCAAGTGATCTGCCCGCCTTGGCCTCCCAAAGTGCTGGGATTATAGGTGTGAGCCACTGTGGCCGGCATACTTTTTATAATTATTTTAGAGTATACTACTCCTACTTATTAAGAAAAGGTTAACTATAAAACAGCCTCAGACAGGTCCTTTAGGAGGTATTCCAGAAGGTATCATCATTACAGGAGACAGGAGATGACAACTCCATGCATGTTACTGCCCTGGATGACCTTCCACTGGGAGAAGACGTGGAGGTAGAAGACAGTGATATTGATGATCCTGACCCTGTGCAGGCCTAGGCTAATGTGTGTTTCTTCTTTGTTTTTAACAAAAGTCTAAAAAGTGGAAAAAAAAAAATTAAAAAAGAATTTTTGTGCAGCTGTACAATTGTTTTAAGTGTTATTATAAAGGTCAAAAAGTTTTATTGGCTCACTCAGAGCAACTTCCAGTCTTGTAAGCTCCCTTCGTGGTTAAGTGCCCTATTCAGAAAAACTTTTAAAAAAATTTTTCTATATCGTATTTTTACTGTATCTTCTCTATGTTTAGATACACAAATACCACTGTTATAACTGCCTACATTATTTAGGTACAAATCTTTGCAGTCTAAGAGCAATACAGCCTAGATGTGTAATAGGGTATACCACCTAGGTTTGTTTAAGTACACTCTATGATGTTCATACACCAAAACTGCCTGACACATTTCTCAGAACGTATCCCCATTGTTAAGCAATGCATGACTGTGTGTTTCTTCTTTTTACAAAGCTGTGATAGTAGCAGTTGTATATGTTTTTTCACATATTATTCTGAGGACTATCACTTGGAATATCTTTAGTGATTTTATTACTTTAGAAGTAATTTTTGGCTGGGTGCAGTGACTCATTCCTGTAATCCCAGCACTTTGGGAGGCTAAGGTGGGCAAATCACTGGAGCCCAGGAGTTTGAGACCAGCCTGGGAAACATGGTGAAACCTCCTCTCTACAAAAAAATACAAAAATTAGCTGGGTGTGATAGTGCACACCTGTAGTGTCAGCTATAACTCGGGAAGCTGAGTTGGGTGAATCGCTTGAGCGATTGAGAAGGGTTGAGGTCACAGTGACCCATGATCACACCACTGTACTCCAGCCCGGTGCCAGGGCAACACCCTGCCTCAAAAAACAAAAAAAAAAAAGAAAAAAAAATTAGTTTTATTCTCGGATTAGTTTTCCTTTGTGCTATTTACTACTTTCTTTTTGTTGATAAACTGATAGTTTGTGCCAATTCTTATTCTTCATTTAAATAGCATTGTGTCTTGAGAGCACATTAGCTTTAGGGATCAACTTGTCTGTTCCTGTGATCCAAAAGATTAAGAACTTTTCCCAAAGTAGTTTGAATAAGGAATCACTGATGAACACAGGGCCGGCCCCCGCCAATTTTACCAGGAATTTTTCTGAACAAAAAGGAAAGGATCTGTTGAAATCTACTCACCCATTATCTGATTCTAGACACACCACAGGAATATCAGTGGGGTCAGAGGTTAGCTTAGCTGCTTGCTGGGCTAGAACAGATATCACTCCAGCATGCTCATCTGACAGGGTCCCACGGCCTGGAAAACGGAGATGATATATGTCACCTGATTGCTCACAGAGTATTTCTGCTAGAATAAGCCAGCTAGCTGGTTGTTTTAAAATGTCAACAGAATTGTCTTTTTATTAATGTTTGTATTAATCTGTATATATTATAGTAACTAAATCTTGGGTACAAAAGTACCTATAAATTCTAGGTATGAAAATTAATTACTAAGTATACTTCACAATATAATTCTGTATACAAAGGCAACACAAACTTAACTGTACCTGAAACCAAATCAGGTAACAGACATGCCACTACGGCAGAGCATATGGATGTACCATTACTATACAAAACATTTTGACCAGATCTGATGCCGACGTTTGGGCCTTGAAGGTTTCTTGAAGGAACTCATTTAGTTTTAGATTTCCATACCTGAATTTCAGTCTTTCCATTAGTGAGCCTGGCAAATGCTTCCAAAAATTTACCCTTTTTCTCCCAAATGACTGATGTGCGTGTTAAACATAACTGAGTTACACAGATTACCTCTTTCAGTTACCCTTCCAGCAAAAATTCAGAGCTTTAAACATTCCTGACTTAGGAGCAACAAGTCTTGGGTTTACTAGTTCTGTCACTAATTAACTGCTTTAGTTATTTACCTTTCCAAACTTATTTCCTCATCTGTAATTGCTACCATTTATTAAGTATTATGTCTCAGTTCTATGTAATACCATTGCACTCTAGCCCTGGATGACAAGAGCAAGACTCCCGTCTCAAAAAATAAAAATAAAAAAGAAAACTGAGACACAGAGGTTAAATAATTTGCCTGAGGTCATACAGCTGGTAAGTGGTTAAGCTAGGATTTTTTGTCTGGCCCTGAGGTCCTCTAATCACAATTTTTTTTTTTTTTTTTTTTGAGACAAAGTCTTGCTCTGTTTCCCAGGCTAGAGTGTGGTGGGCACAATCTTGGCCACCGCAACCTCTACTTCCCAGGTTCAAGCAATTCTCCTGCCTCAGCCTCCTGAGTAGCTGGGATTACAGCATCTACCACCACACCCAGCTAATTTTTGTTATTTGTAGTAGAGACAGGGTTTCACCATGTTGGCCAGGTTGGTCTCGAACTCTTTATCTCAGGTGATCCACCCACCTCAGCTCCCCGAGTGCTGGTTTTACAAGAATGAGCCACCATACCCGGCCTAATCACAATATTTTAAGGTTATATAATATGTATAAAAAATGCT